GTGAACACTGTGATCGCGTTAACTAGACATGACTTAGAAGACGTGGGCTGCTCCCAACCGAACGACTTGTTGACGGAGTATACTGACGATCTTACTCTTACATGTGACAGCTCAGGAACGTTCCAAACGGTACTAGACAGATCAGCACTGGTCGTCAGCCGTTTCGCGCTGCACTTTGCACACTCGAAATGCAAACTTTCCTCCAAGATTTGTATGAATTATCTGCTGCTCTGACCCTTGGTGCGGATCAAGTAGATATGGTTAAGATAGGGAACAACTTAGGCGGTTGTTGAAGATGATGCAACAAATCGTATAGTAAAAGTACGAGGAGCTATTGCGAACCTTTGCCACCTACAGCGCTGGCGCGACATCACTCTCTCCATTGCAATGAACATGAATCATTCACCCTTTCAGTATTTTGGGACGTTAGATTTTAATTTGTTTATATCCTCTGGTCGTCCATTTGTTTACCTGTTGGTAGATGCCGATCACTTGTTCCCATCATGAGTCACGCCGCAAACTACAGTTTGTCTCTGCTTACCTGCCCTTCATTCTTTGTAGTTTTGTCAATACACGTTGGGTCCAGACGATGTACACGGCATGCCACCACTTGCCATTAGCATCTGAGTAATACCCCACACCCTTAACGGTAAATTATACAATGCAGCCATACGTCCGACTCTGCAATACGGTCGTGAAACCTGGCCCATTAGATCGGCAGAAATAGAGGGTAGTTATAATTCAGCTAATTCATCATCGCCACTCCCAATCAGCAGGCTTAGAGTAGTCTGGAAAAGCACCAGACGCCGGCGTTTCGACCTTCTGGGTCTCGTCAGTAGTGCGCCTCCCAGCGGAACGCTGCCGGATTTCGCCCCCATGACTTCAGGATGCCAGCAACTGGGGCCACTTCGCCATGGGTGATAGCCTTAGACCTACGTGATTGACAGTTGACTATGATATAGCCCGGCTCATCTTCCACTGCCATGCCAGTTACCAACTGTGCAGAGGACAATGGCTAGCCTCACGAGGTAGGACTTTCCGCATAGCGCCAATGCATGGCAGGGGACTTGGAAGCTATACGGACAGGTTTTTATAGTACTGATGAGTAGTGAGTACTATAAAAACCTGTCCGTATAGCTTCCAAGTCCCCTGCCATGCATTGGCGCTATGCGGAAAGTCCTACCTCGTGAGGCTAGCCATTGTCCTCTGCACAGTTCGTAACTGGCATGGCAGTGGAAGATGAGCCGGGCTATATCATGGTCAACTGTCAATCACGTAGGTCTAAGGCTATCACCCATGGCGAAGTGGCCCCAGTTGCTGGCATCCTGAAGTCATGGGGGCGAAATCCGGCAGCGTTCCGCTGGGAGGCGCACTACTGACGAGACCCAGAAAGTCGAAACGCCGGCGCCTGGTGCTTTTCCAGACTACTCTAAGCCTGCTGATTGGGAGTGGCGATGATGAATTAGCTGAATTATACCAAAAAACAAAAAATCCTCACTACTCATCAGCAGTGGAGGGTAGTTACGTTCCATCACCCGTTTCTTCGCAGTTTGGGCCAAATCTGGTGGGAACACCGTGTTAGCAATGAGCGGGTTCTACGTCTTGTTCATGGCGCAGGAAGAGGAAGTGAACTGGCTGGCTAGCCGAACATCCTCGTGCTGCCAGCGGGGTGGTTCGGGTGCAACCCGTTCTAGCAAATAGTTCGGTCACAGTGTTCCAGGAAGTGGTGGAGTTTCGCCTGGGAAACATTCTCCCTATAAAAGATCACAAGTGTCTGCTTAACAACAACGTGACGTGGCGGTCGTGACTCGCCCCAAAATAAGCTCACTGCCCTTGGATATCCGGATAATTACATCCAATCCAAGGACAGCACTCGTCTATTCCTACATAACCGACGCTGTCAAGCAGTCACAAATACATTTTAACAGGATATAGTGAATTCAGTAATTTCGCCTATTCTCACCATATTTTTACCAACAATCTGTGGAAAGCATAGGCTACATAGCAAGGGCGATCAACTTGAAATGTTATCGGCGAAAATGTAAAGCGGTCGAAAATCGGTGAGTTCGCGTGACCCAATCAGAGGAAAGATGACACTAGCCTCACTATGGTAGGGTGAGGCTGGTCACGAAGTCAGTTTGTGTGCACAAACTTGGTTTCAACCGCCGAATCGTCGATTTCTCAGCGAACTGAAGTAGACGGGGAATGCTTTGTTTGTTGATTAACTTAAACCCACCACGTGAGTTTTCGCAAAAGAGCAATCAAGTACGTGGTGTGCAATAGAGCTAGTGGGTATTTTCTGGCCATTTGCGACCGTGTACCGGTGGACGTGCTCTGCAATCCTCGCTGACAGCCTTCTCTCAGTTCTGCCAACGTACTTGATACCGCAAGTACAGGTAAAAAGGTAAACACACGAGGCGGTAACTTGAGAGTCCGGTCTGTCCAGGATGGATATTCACAGCAGCCTCCTGACCTGTTGCAATTCCACCAGCTCAGCAGTGTAATAGCACTACTTGACAAACTGACGAAGACGATGCCTACATCTGCTGTCTACTTGATCCCCTTTAAACGGCATTAATACATTTTTCTTTGGAACATCTGTTGATGGGTTATCTTTCGGCTGTAATTTAGCCTACCGTGCTATCGCTTGGAATTTCCATTCTTTTGTAGTGTCGAGGTGACGCCTTCCAGTTCACATTCTATGGTCTCCGGAGAGCAAATTTGACGCACTCTAGCAAAAGCCGTACGGAATATAGCTCGCTTATAGTTCATTGGGCAGAAGCTATTAAAGTTCTGGTACTGTCCCGTCCATGTTTGTTTTCTGTACACAGACCAACCGACTGTAACGTTTAGCTTTCTCTGTAACATCCAGGGAAAGAAAGGATCCATTGGATTTGTTTTCTGTCTTGAATTTGATCGCAGGATGGCACTTATTCGGCATTTCCAGTAGGTATGCCGCTTGCTTAGGAGTGTCAACAAACACATAGGTGTAGTCCACACACCGGCCTTAAAAGTGTACATTCTGTATATCAGAAGGTGGTACGGTGTTTTCCAAGTGGCCCATCAGCGAATGGACTGCCCGTGGCAAGACTCTCGATTTGTAATTAAAGTTTTCCATTGAATCGGAACTGCATAGCTTTCGTGCATAAACGGTGCAGTGACTTGAGTTGTGACGCTGGGATCAAAACTTTATCAGCATGCCTGTCAATTATATGTAGCGTTTCTTCTAAAGGGACATTTATGAATAACGAGCGCATATCAAACGAGATCCTATGCTTCCCTTTTACTTTTAAATTACATATCTTGTTGCCAAATACAGGTGTATCTCTTATGCTGTACCGTGTCAGTCCCTTCCGGATGGGCTCGATGAGTTTCGTCAGCCATCGGACTAGTATTTGGTACCGTGCGTCTACCATTGAGACGATTGGAACTAGGGGGATGCCCACTTTATTAGTTTTGGTAAGCCATACATGTGCGGTAGCAAGTACGTTGGCAGAACTGAGAGAAGGCTGTCAGCGAGGATTGCAGAGCACGTCCACCGGTACACGGTCGCAAATGGCCAGAAAATACCCACTAGCTCTATTGCACACCACGTACTTGATTGCTCTTTTGCGAAAACTCACGTGGTGGGTTTAAGTTAATCAACAAACAAAGCATTCCCCGTCTACTTCAGTTCGCTGAGAAATCGACGATTCGGCGGTTGAAACCAAGTTTGTGCACACAAACTGACTTCGTGACCAGCCTCACCCTACCATAGTGAGGCTAGTGTCATCTTTCCTCTGATTGGGTCACGCGAACTCACCGATTTTCGACCGCTTTACATTTTTGCCGATAACATTTCAAGTTGATCGCCCTTGCTATGTAGCCTATGCTTTCCACAGATTGTTGGTAAAAATATGGTGAGAATAGGCGAAATTACTGAATTCACTATATCCTGTTAAAACACGGTTTCTTCTTGCTCTTTTGAAATTCGTGAAGGGAAATACCTGTATGAAGTCACAAATACAACGGTACACTTACAAATACACGCTAACAAGCTACACACATGTACAATTACACGCACATTCAAATACATGCACTGTTTTGGTAAGCATGTATTTTGTACATTTTGTGCACAGCTTGTTACCATAACGTGATCATGCTTCTAAAGGCGTGCTACGCATTTCCGAGAATATAAAGTTTAGTTATCTATTATATTCCATGCACCAGGCTCCGATGTCTAGGCCACGTGTTGCACATGCCAACCCGCCGCCTCTCGAGCCATCCGTTGTCTGCTCGCCGGGGGTGTGGATGAGAAAAGGAGGTGGTTAATCGATGACTTCGTCAAGAGGAATGAAGGCCCTTAGTTCGAAGTTGGCCTCGGTCTTAGCCTCCGGGCTCCCTGGTTTAGATAGATACACTTGTTGATATGGCTAGAAACCGACCTCAGTGGCCGTATGTGTTTCTCTGTGCCTTCTCCTCCCGGTTAACCACCCTCTCCAACGACTTCATTCACTAGGCACAATGTAATTTTTTGCGACACGATAGCCGGCTGTTGGCTCTCCGGAACCATATGCACCCGTCACTGGTGTCTCAGCCGGCGTGCCACTTTTGCATGTTTTTCTACTTTCCTTATGCACTGCGGCACAATAGCTGTTTTCCATTAGCTAACGTGTATAACTGAATGATTTGGTTGAAGGAATTCCTTCCAGGTCGCCACAATACACTAGAAGAACAAAAGCAAGCGGCTGTTCCTGGTCTGTCGAGGTCACAGGGGAAATCTGACAGTGCATAAGGTTCCGGGATCACCGTGCCGATGTTCACTGGCCAACACCGTTGCGTGTTGCGGGCGGATAGCGCCTGGCCGAAGTAAGTAACGCACGGCATATTTACCTGTGAACACTCGTGCGCGCAGAGAGCGTACGGCACACCCACACGTTGGCTAGACCGGTACAATGGTGTCGACCAGCAGCTAAGCTCTGTGATTGGCCAGTATTTATTGACCGCGAAATTAACCAATGTGGAAGTGGAAAGCGTAGATCGGCCGATTACCTATTGTGCGAGTGTCAGTGCCAGCCTTCGCCTTCGCCTGGCCGATGTAGACGCGCAGCTTTCGTCGCCCCTGGCATGCTCGGTGGGGCCTCGGATTACTCTTCGTAGGACTCTCGAAAAACTATTCCGGAGATGGATTGTGATTTGACGAATGGTCCTACCGTGATAAACGGTACAGCAGCTCAGGAAGTGATGACCGAAGAGGAGCGTGCACTGGAAAGTGAGTTACTCAGCTGTAAAACTGCCCTGGAGAATGCCCGGAGAACTGTTGCAGACACCGACTTTTATAAAATGACGGAGCATATTTTAGAATTAGGAAGAATAAAATTCAAAGCTCGAAAGCACCTTCGCGGACACTTGGCCAAGGTTACATGCGTCCAGTGGGGTTCCGATAGCCAGCTGCTCCTCTCTGCTTCCCAGGATGGTAAACTCTTTGTTTGGGACACTTTCACGGGAAAGAAGATTCATATGATACCCTTAAAAACTGCCTGGGTTATGGGCTGTGCCTTCTCACCATCTTTGAACTGCGTCGCTAGTGGTGGTCTGGATAACATGATCTCTTTGTTCACGTTGAAATCTCGGGATAACACTGCGACACATGTCAAGGACCTCACCGGACATTCTGGGTACGTTGGTTGCCTTAGGTTTACGGATGAGCAACACTTGTTGACAAGCTCCGGGGATAAAACATGTGGCTATTGGGACCTCGAGCTTGGTAAACTGATATCCAGTCATCGGGGCCATGCAAACGATGTGACAGCAGTGGCAGTTTCTAAGCAGGTACCGACTATGTTTGTGTCTTCTTCATCTGACCATACTTGTCGGTTGTGGGATCTGCGGTGTACAGAAGCAGTGCAGTATTTTGACGGGCACCAGCAAGATGTCAATGGCGTGGACTTCTTTCCGGTTAATTCATATGCCTTTGTCTCCTCTTCTGACGACGGTTCTTGCAGACTTTGGGATATTCGTGCTGATCAAGCCATTGGAGTTTACATAGACGATTTTATCAACTGCGGCAGCAGCAGTGTCGCAGTTTCTAAATCTGGACGGTTGCTCATAGCTGGTTACGATGATTTCAACTGCCATGTGTGGGATCTATTAAGAGAGGAACGCGTTGGAATCCTTTCTGCCCACGAAAATCGGGTCTGTACAGTTGCGATCTCTGAAAGTGGTATTGGCGTCGCAACCGGATCTTGGGACACAATTTGTCTTATCTGGACTTCAAAGTAATATGGAATTATTAACCAATCATCCTCCTGTGTGCATTGTCTTGCAAGATATACTGAGCTTACGGACTTCAAAAACACTTCCTACCTAACTTAACGAGGTGAGTCGCTCACTCCCTGGTGTCACAGCGTCTTGTGTACAACTTGACCTTGTACTTCAAGCACTGCCTAAGTCCTATTGTGACTGCCACTTTTGTCTTTTTCTTATTTTATTTACATAGGTACACCGACCAGAGTTTTTCACGAAACAGTTGGTGCATGTTGACAACGCCTTGTCACCATGGTTCTTTATTTGTCTTTCTTTCTTAACTACTGACTCGAAATTTCTCGCGCCAGAAACTTATTTCTCGCTTCATGTTTACGTTCTACTCCTAACAACTTGCGCGATAACCCCTGCCTCTTTAGGGGTGTGTAGGTTTATATTTTGAAAGTCACTGGTCTCCTGTCTGGTTTAATCTGCCCTCACCTGTTTATGATCTCTTTGCGGACATTTTTGGCTCTTTTATGACAGACTTACTAGTAAGCCTAATGTTGATATGCTTTTCATTCGCACCTGTTTTTCCTCATTTTGTTGTTCCGCCTGTGGGCTTTCTAAATATGAAATTCGACCTCTTTCTGCGTTCACTCGGTTTCGAACCTATCGTTGTTCTGGTAAACTTTTCAGCTCCCTCGTTTCCGTGCCTATCATTTTTATGCGTGACACCGAGTAGTCGCATGAGAATTCGATACACGCACGTTGACTTTGTTTAGGAGTTAAGTCTTACAATCGTGAGTGTTAGTATGCTCCCAAGCATGTGACATGCGGGTGCCGGCACGTATCCTAAAGGTAGGAAGCTTGTCTTGTAATTTGACGGCGCAGGTTCGAGACTGCGTAGGGACAGGGCGACTCTCGCGCTATCCTTAGCCCACGTGCGTCGGTGGTGGTTGCGCAGCAGCGAAGCGTTGGTACTGCGTACCGGCGTACTGCTGCTGCCTTGCCTTGGCTTGCACTATGCCGGTTCGCTGCACTGGAACTTTGCTGTCATGCGACCACAACCAGTCTTCTGTCTTGAAATAAATGAGAATATCTGTAGCTCGGGGTGTGGATGCAGATTTTGAGCAGTTCTCCGAGCTGGATAATTATTTTGCAGACGTTTCGTTGCCTGACTAGGCAACATCATCAGTGCGGCTTCAGGGGCCTGAAGCCGCACTGATGATGTTGCCTAGTCAGGCAACGAAACGTCTGCAAAATAATTATCCAGCTCGGAGAACTGCTCAAAATCCGCAGTCTTCTGTCTGTCAGCAATATTGTAAAGGCATCCGGGTATACGAAGATTCGAAGTGACGGCGCTTGGATTACAAGGCAGATGCCTTCCCTATCCGCACAGATGAACGACCACCTGTACCATTTGGGCGTTTTTAGTAGTTCGCAAACAGAAAATAAGGATAGAAATGGTTTAACATGCTTAGATATGTTGTCAAATATTATTATACTTCTTTAACACCGCCGATCTTCAACCACAAGTCTCCTTTTTAATAAAAGCATACTTCCAGTCAGCGCGATCGACCATTTCTTATGACCCTGACCGTCCCAGTGAGGCACATTTGGGACGAATTTCGGTCACTCGGTATTCATCATCATCATCATCATCAAAAGCAGTACATCAGCCATTTGAACCGATGCTTCGCTGCCATACAACCATATGGACCTATGAAATAAAGAATAAGAAGAGGGAGAGAAGGGGGACTTACCTGAAAACCCTAATGCCCTAAGCAAACATTCAGGGTCAAGGCTCCTGCACCAGCCGTCACAAATAGCTGGCTATCGTGCAAAGATAAGGCGGCATCGGCGTGACAGCTTCCTTGCGGCTTTCACTGCCACGCGTCATAATCAGCCATTACCCCGCAGCTAACTCAGCACCAAACACACTTTAAACAGGCAATCCGATTAGGAGACGGCAGCAGATGCGCCACTGGTGTCGGTTGCGAGCCATGTCCTGTAAAGTCTCGAGCCAAGCACAAGGCGAGTCACGTGGACTCCAGCCCGGAAGGTGAGATGGATCAACAGCACCCAGTTTGGTCGGCAGTAACTTCATTTCCCGCTACACAGTCAACTTCTGTCCACCTCGAGCCTTGCGCCACCCTACACCTGGCAGACTAAACAAGGCCCTCCTAGGTAAGCGCTGATCAGGCATACGTAGCACGTGCCCGAGCCAACGCAACTTATTTAGGGCTCTCTGTTATTCTAGGGAGCTAGCATGATTATCACCACCTAGTACTCGCCTACGCACATCATCGTTGCGGACGCGCTGGTGCCATCCGACTCCAGCAATGCTTCGCAGACAACGATGATCAAAGACTTGAAGGTGCCTCAGATCTTCAGACCGAAGCGGCCAAGCCTCACTACCATAGAGCAGAACGGCCCTCACTGTGGCCTTGTATACACGGCCTTTCAGACGGAGGGAAACTCCCTTCTGTCGCCAAAGATGCCGCAGGTTCAAGAAGGTAGCTCTGGCCTTTGCAATGCGTAAGCTGACGTCAGTTTCTATGCGCCCATCATTGCTGATGCAGCTGCCAAGATAAGTGAAATGATCAACCACCTCGAGTTCCTCGTTAGCAAGCGTCAAGGGGTCATCAAGTGGTTGGTGATCCTGCAGCAACACTTTGCACTTTGAAGGTGCGAAGTGCATACCAAATAATGGGACCACTACAGAGAGGCTATTCAGGGTTGATTGTGCCGCCCCAACACCGTCGAAAAGCAAGACGATATCGTCTGCATAATCTAGATCAACTAACCTTTCACCAGGCAGCACTTCAACGCCTACATCGTGAGATTCCGCAAGCGAACACTTCATGATAGAATCCACGACGAAATTGAACAAAAATGGGGAAATCGGACAACCCTGACGAACGCCACTTGTGGTCGAAAAGCTAGCCGATAGGCCACCGTAGACCCTGACGCGGCCTGTACTGTTCGAGTATAGAGCACGAGGCAGGTTCACAAATTTCGTGGGAACATGTTTCCACGCAAGTATTTCGAACAAAATCGATCGATCGACTGAATCAAACGCACTCTTGAAATCGAGGAACACAGCTATTGTCGGTTTGCTGTATGCGTGGCGCTGCTCTAGCACCTGCCGCAAAGTGAATATATGGTCTATACAGCCACGTCCTGGGCGGAAACCGGCCTGCTCTTCCCTAATCCGAGATCCCCGTTCCGCAGTGAGGCGACGAACGATAATCGAGGCCAATAGTTTTGTCACAACTGGCGTTAGGCTAATACCCCTGTGGTTTGAACAGTCTGTGTGACTGCCCTTCTTGCATATTGCCACTACAATAGATTCGCTCCAATCAGCCGGGATACTCTCTTCCTTCCACATATGTTGGAATAGGGAGGTCAGTGCTTTGCAGAGGACCTCACCTCCATCCTTAAATAGTGCAGGTGGGAGGGAATCCGGGCCAGCGGCACGAAAACGATTAAAGGCTGTGATCGCGTTTCGGACCTCGGCCTCTGACGGAGGCTCTAAACTAACCGTCTATGGCTCGTCCTGCATCACCTGAGTGGGAACAGGTCCGGGAGCACTTGGTTTTCTGGGACCAGTGGTGCGGATTAGCTGGAAGAGCTTGCGGTAATTGGCTACTGCCTCCTCCATTTCTTGAGCCCGACTGGTCCGCCAGGCTTCCTTGTCATCACGTAGCCTCCGCTTTAGTTCGCGCCTAATTGCCCATCTGGTCACATTGTATTCAGAGCCAGCCGGGAGGTGTCTTCTAGATTCCAACAGGTTCACCGACCTCTCGGATATCCCGTGACTGGTGCGATGACGATGGATAGTGCCACAAGCAGATGCTCTTGCGTCGTGCACGGCGGCCGAGATCCTATTCCACCGTAACTCAGTATCATTAGAACAAGACAGCGGAAGTTCGGTATGCAGTGCTTCTTGATAGGCTTGCCTGATCGAGGACTGAGACAATTTCTCCGTTGCCAGTCGTAGGGGACGCATGGTGCGCCTCCCGGTAAAGTTCATGGAGAAACGACAGCGTACCAAGGCATGATCAGAGTCGACACAGGTACTCCAGTACGAGCGGCAATCCATGATGGAACCACGCCATCTGTAACTTATGGCTTTGTGGTCAATTTTGGTCCATCGCTGGCCAGCTACAGGAGGACGCCAAGTGGCATTTCGGCGCCCACTGTGTCTAAAAGCAGTGCTACTAAGAAACAACTGATGCTCCGCACACAGTTACGGCAGACGCTCACCGTTGTCAGTCCGTTCGGAGTTAAGCCCACAATTACCACCCAGCTGAGCTTCTGAAGAGCTCAGACGCCCTACTTGTGCGTTCATATCTCCTGCAAGTACTGTGACATCTGAACTAGTAGCACTGCGTAGTAGCGCATTCAATTCGTCATAGAATGTGTCATTGACAACATCTGAACTGCAGTCGGTAGGTGAATAAGCGGAAATCACAAACAAACAGCGTTTTGTACTACTTCGTGAATCAACCTTAGCTGATGACGTCAAACGGGCTGCACATAAACGGCTGTTCACCAGAATCCAATCAACCAACGATGGCACAGCGTTGGAGCTTAGAATGATACCTACATCAGCTTGACCCGTGGGTGCTGCATCGGCGCCTCCGGATACGTGCATCCAACAACTAGAGGATAAGCCAGATGCAGTTAATTCAATAACCCCGTTAGGGTCATTGATCCTAGGTTCGGACACAACACACGTCAATACCCAGTGTGTCCAAGGTGCGTGCGAGTGCAGCTTGTTGACCTGTTTGTCTTAGAATGGGAACGTTGAATGTCGCCATGGAAACGGATGGCGTGGCCTTATAAGGGACTTTTGCCGATAGGCGTCTGATAGGTGCGGTGGGATGGTGACTGCAGATGGTTCTACTCCAGTGGCACTTCGGTTGCTGTCAATGAAGCTGGAAATTATAGGTTAGTAATGGGGGTCGGGATGGGAGTAAGAGAAAAAGGTGGAAAAGAAAGAAGGGAGGCGCCAGCAGTAGCATATTTCCGCTTGTCCGCCATACTGTATGCAGCAGATAAGGCGACCCTTTATAATCTGCGCGACGGGCGATGCAGGATGATGTCTATGTTTGTAGAAAATGTCATGGTTGTATGTGGGCTGAGATACTGCCAGGGCGCCTAGACTTAGACGGGAAGACGATTAGGGTCCTCATCCAAAGCCTTTGACTCAAAAGCCTGTCCGCAAGGCAGCGGGGAGGTGGCAATGCTTTAGTTTTGTAGAAATGGGCGCCATCTCATTTCAATCCCCCAACCTGGAGCACCAGGAGACTGACTTTGTCTGACCTCTCACCATTGACCAACCTGGTAGGAGTAGCTTTCAAGGTGCCCGGATGCATCACCCAGTATAGCTCAATGGGTCAATGAGGTACGCAAAACCGTCGCACCACGTTAACGTCCAGTCGTTGCGGCAGGGTCACTCGGTATTGTGTAATCATGATTTGGAAACTTATTTCCGGTTACTATAAACGGCATTTACAACCAAAAATGTGCACACACAGTATATGTTGAAGTTGCACTGAAAAATCTTATTCCCAGCGACCAAACGCCATGCTGCTTATACCGACCAGCCACCAGCCGATCATAACATCGGTTGAGGTGGTGAACGATCCTAAGTTCCGGTTCGTTGGCAAGTCTTCGCGCTCCCTGTGTTTTCACTT